CCCCCCCCCCCCCCCCCCCATTAGAATACACTCATTCTCATTACTGTTCAGTATTTGTGGATGTCTGTGAGAAGATGAAGTGAGAATTGAGTAACTTTAGTACGAGGACTTTCCAATGGCAATGGGGAAAAGACAATTATGTCCCCAAATCTCAATACCCTGCATCTCAAAAGACTGCACAAAAGAAATGAACATTTGACCTCTGTAGAATTCATAAAAGAATATATCAGGGGATATACGGATGAACTCATTTTTGGAAATTACTGAATTGGGTTGAGAAGAAGTCGTCTTCGGTGTTTCTTGTATTTGAAGAAACCCCAGATTTGCCAAGCCCGGATCCCTGACCCATAGATCTGCTTGAGTAAAATGCAGGAGGCAGGGCGGGCCCCTTTTCTTTCTCCTCTGCAAGGTTCACCTTCTTGGCTGCAAAAATGGAAAAATTCTTCAAGGCCAGCAAAAAGAAAGACTTTTTTTAATTACTGACAATCCGATGATGATAAAAAGAGTTCCCATCATGACAAAATTACCAAATGACCTTTGATGTTTTTTGAAAATTATGAATAAGCCACTTGAACATTCAAAATTTTCACAGAGGACACTGAGGATGATAAGATGGTGATGATATTAGTAGGAATGTGTGTTTTAGCGTGAAACTATTATAGCCAATAAAATGCATTTAACAAATTCAGATTGAACATGAAAATGACTAAATAAGTGCAATTAACACAGAAACATAATTCAGTAGATAAACTTACGTGCACTTATGTTGAGATCAATCAATCCACGACTAAGTGAATCAGCCCATATTCCAGACTTGACCTGAAAAGAATTCTTCTTGTTTGGGAGCTTGGAATCTACTGAAGATGCGTTCAAGCTTCCTTCACTTGTACCGCCAGCAGAACCAGTTTGGGAAACAAATGAACCAAACGGGTCCGAACTGTCAAAAGCATTTAATGGAACGGCAGCAAATGGATCAAGTGTACTGTTATTAGTATCCTGGGGCTCTTGTTTGGAAGATTTTTCGGGTTGCACATCCAGATCAGGTGCATCGAAGAAATCAAATGTTGAGAGAGGAACGGGTGAGGCTGAAGGTAGAGGAACTGCTTGTGAGAACAGATTAACACCCATCTGCAAAAAGTACTTATAAATATATATAATTAAATATCCACACACTATCTGGACAAATGAAATTGACTTTTAGCATTTAGCACAAGGAATGTGAGAAGCCTTATGCAATAGGGTTTCTGCTAAGATAGAATGTAAGATTCCAGTAATAGGAGATTGCCTCAAGGGGTGTTTGGTGTAATGTTAGATATTAGATAAGTAAGATAACCAAGGTGATGCAGCCTGAGGTGGTTGAAGATAATCTGATCACCACCGAAATGAAACATTGCCATCATGCTTGGATTTTCAAGTAGAAGGGGAATGTGATTACTCCTTTCTTCTTAGGCAATGTAATATTACCTTGGTGATATTTTAGACTAGTTTGAATTTACCCTTACCAAATCAACAACACAAGAAATATTACCTGGTTACATTCAGGTAAGTCTACCTTGTTATAATGGTATTCCTATTTCCTACATTATCCCATGTATTATTGTACATTTGTACTCCTCCAATCCGTCCCAAAGTATTTGTCTAGTTGACTTTTTGCGGTCAAACTGGACAAAGTTTGATCATTAATTAAATAAAGAATGCATTGGGTGTTAATACAGAATAAAATAAACTGAAACAGATTAATAATCTGCATTACATTTTAATCTTAACCAAACACATTATGGTATCTTCAACTCTCTCTGTCGCAAAACTAAGTTTACACTTTCTCACTTTCTATTATGGAACGTAATATCTGACTCACAACATGTCTCTCTCTTCAAATCAAATTTCAACCACAGTTTTTACTTTTTAAAACTTTTCTTGAACAATGTGAAGTTAGACCGTAAACTTCATTTGGGGGCAAAGGAAGTATTCTAGTAATATCACCCGCAATCATATTACTTTAATCACCTTATATTCCCCCCGTCCAAAAAAGAGAAATTCCAACTTCTAGAAAGTAAGTGTGATTGAAATTGGTTTAGAAAAGAGGAAAATTTTGTGAGCCGTGTGTCTTTTTGCCTAATAGGAAATAGAAGCGTGAGTTTAATTTTGGGACAACCCAAAAAGGAAAGTATGAATTTGTTTTTGGGTCGGAGGGAGTATTCAAATAATCACACATTAATTTCGGAGGGAGTATTCAAATGATCACACATTAATTTCCTGAAAGTAATCACATTAACTAGGATAATTTTGCATTCACGTAATCCTATGTTTTGGTACCTGACAGTAGTTATATTACCTGATATAATCTCATGTTCCTTGAAACAAGTGTCTGGTAAGTTATTTGCTTCACAAAATGTGATAGGGAGTACTTGAGTTGTGATTAGCAAGGATAAAACCAGAGTAGTCTATAATCTCACCACTGTAATCTAGGTAATCACACTTTTCATCTCCAACATAAATATCCAAACATTATTGTAATGTATGTTACACATTACCACAGTAGTCTGAACCAAAAAAGGACATGCGATTGAAGAGTTACCTCAGCTTGAGAGCTTCCTGTCGCTTCAGGTTGGGAGAACAGATCAATGCCCGCCTACAAAATTTATCAGATGAATGTCCTCTAATTAATCAAGAAATTGCTTTACAAGGAATGTGCATATATGATGGGAAACTCACCTGAGGAGCCTGAGAACTTCCCCCTGTTTCGGACTGAGTGATAGCAGTTACAAAAGCTGCATCCGCAAATAAATCAACTTCTGTTTGTTCATTCTTTACGGTGGCCTTATCTGATGAAGAAGATACAGAATCTGTATCCAAGAGGTTACTAACCAAACTCCCCCCGAAAAGATCTACTTGGCTAGAACTTCCCACTGCAGTAGGCTCTGTGAAACAAAATTGAAAGGCAATCTGAATTTCAACCAACGAGGGTACCAAAAATTTAGCATGTGGAGGGTTTTGGAGGGGAAAACTTTTGAAGGCTTAGTTCATATCTTGACAGTTGACATATATTTTGTTTATTTTATAAAAATTGAAAGATCAACATAATATGTGATCATATAAGTATAAGATTTACAGTACACTTCAATTACTCTGTATCTGTTATTTGTTTTTAAAAATCAGAAACATTATATTTATCAGATATCGGCTGAGTCTTTTAAAACCTTCCCCAAAAAAAAGCCTCTACCCAAACACTCTTAAGGTCCTAATAGTGAAGTACATGTAGTTTCAGTATAGATAAATCCTTTACTTTCATTCATTCATTCAAAAAACTGATGGTTGAGATTGCTTTTGCTCAGAAAAAAAACCCCTCGGTCCTACAAAAAGGTTCCACGATGGAATCATCACATTTATTAAGAAAGGTGAAATTATGTGGTTAAAAGTGGTGCACACGAGAGAAACTATGGGCCACAGAAACTTTTCCATAAATGGAAAATGAAACCTTTTTATGGGACATAGGGAGTATGTGTTTATGTGGTATTCATTAAATTGCTTCCGGTGACAACGATATTTGTGTTATTGACGTTTATTACTTTATCGGAAGATATCATTTCTTTGTATGTGACATCATTTAAGTATGTTAGCACCTACTAAAGAAATGGATTATTTAACTAAGTAATTAATTAAAGCAGTATACACATGCTCACAAAGACACTTACTAGCAGCTGAAGTCCCACGAGGATCAAAATCATCAAAATCGTCAAAATCGTCTTCATAATTGCTACTTGGTGTAGTTGCAATCGTTGAGGGTATTGAAGCATTCTTATCATAGTAGCCTGTCTTGTTTGTCTTTGATCCACTAGCAAAAACAGCACCTTGCTTCTTACTGTGAAAAATTATACCCCGGTAGACTAAAACAAGCAATGAGAAAGATCCTACCACATGTTTGTATTTATTCATCTTTAATTCTCTAAATTTTATCCTGTGCTATTTTTGCATAATTTTTTGTGTTAACTATATTAGACAATTTACTGACATTATTAATTTTAATGTCAATGACCCAAACATGGTGGGTATTAAGGTGCTGGTGATGAAGAAAATTCAAGAATTATATCCATGCATGGAAGACTAAAATTATGTACTTCACTAATAAAATTTAATGAGAAAGACAATGAGATGTGCTTGATGCCAATGCACTTGAAATAGAATACGCTTCTCAGAAACCATGTCAGAAGAAAAGCACTATGCAAAAACCAAATCATGTATAGCAGCATGGCCAAGAATTTTTCACAACACAGATAACAAAATGAGATACACTATGTGCCAAAGTTGCACTCCTTCCGTCCCACAAAAAGAGGCCTCTTTGTAAGCTTATTTCTGTTCCAAAGAAGAGTCTTGTTTGAACAAACGAAGGTCATTTTAATTACATTTCTTGCCACTTTTTGCCAAAAAGTGACCCAAAGAAATTAAGAAAATTAAAATTAGCCAACAAATAAATTAGTAAAGCATGACTTGGTAATAATTTTGGTAAAGCATGACTTTTTGGGACAAAGGTAATAATCTTAAATGTGCTACAAACTGACTTTAAGAAGAAGAAAAAATCATGTTCGGAATGAGATTATTTGCATCTATGTAGTATGACTTGTTAGGCACTATTGAGATATGCATACTACCTTGCACGACGAGAGACCCGAGTACTTGAGCTGTCCTCTTTGTCAGAAATCTCCCTTCGAGATCTATAATTAGTATTTCTGTCAATCTTAGGATCACCATATCGATCGCTCTCCTTGGGAGTGAATGAATCACTATCAACCTTACTTCCAAAACCTCCATATCGACTGCCACTACTCATGGATGCAGATCCTGACTTGTATGTTATTCCAGTAGATGATAGTCCAATATACCTAGAAAATGATTGTAAAGTTCAACAAAATGCAACTTATAAAAAACCAAGGGTTTCCGCATCAACCATATTTATACTTTAGAGCACGCACTAACTTTTCACGATTTGCAGAAGCCTTATCCCTAACCTCCTGTATCTTGTCCTTGTCATTTAAGAGTGACACAATGTGTTCAGCCTTCTTCCTCACGTTGATTCCCACATCCTTCCCGTTCGGTTCAACATACTCAAACTTTGTAAGAGACTTAAGGAAATAAAACCAAAGGAATGTTCAGAATGTATGTTTAAAAGAAAAAAACAAAGTAAAATCAGCAATCGGGAAGTTGGTTTTAGCTTGGTTGAATAATTGAAACCAAGAACTACTTCAGTGCATTTAATCAAATTTTAGTAAGGATCCTCAACCTATGGAGGATGATTATATAAAGTAACATGTCATACAATAACCTACTTAGTGAAAGAGGGAAGTCTCAAGAGGATGGAAAAGGTGTGTTTGTGAACAATACAGCAAACACATAAAATCCCAAAAAGTGGGGCTTGGGGGTGTGCATACGCAGACCTTACCCCATATAGGCAAACACAAAGTGTGTTTGTGTATCAAAAAGAATTCAACGTTGTGTCTATCATCACAACTTTTAAAAAAATTATAGCAAAAAGTTTTTTGACAAAATAAAATACGAACCGAAATATGATATGCATGTTCTACAATATCATCCACTGCACGCTCGGAACCATGTGCTACCAGATACTCTAGAACAACCAGTGCCTGATACATATTGTGGAAAAATTGTTTAGGGGAAACACCTTATTGTTGGAAGATTTCAATTAATTCCTACCTTGTAGACATAACGCCAGTTCTTGTCGGTCTCTTTCAATCTTGTCCATAGAACATTCATTGCAATCGAACATTCAGAACTGCACAATTTCTCAACATGTTAAGGATAACTTATAGAGTGTACCTATCAAGAAGGAGAAGGAAGAAAAACATGACGATATAAATGCGAACATGAATTAAAGCGGCCAAGACGTACAATTTCTTAGTAGCTTGTGCTATCTCAGCCATTGCAGTGCCATGAGGGCCCCAATTTTCATCATCTGTTGCATCCAATACCTTGTAAAAACTAAGACCTTTTAACTTCATCCGTACGCGCGCGGGGGGGGTTGAACTCTAGCTAACACCAATGCAAAACAGACTACGAAAGCTTCTAACATTCACAATCACATAATTCATAATCCACTTTTGATCTCCTGACTACAAAGTTAACCCATGAACAGGTTTTTAAAGTCATGCTAGCAAATTAAGAAGTTGCATAGAGTAGCAAACTTTGCCAGAGGTTCAAGAAGTGAAGCTAGTGAGCTAATGCAAAAAAGAAAAGGCGTGCGTATATTTGGCATCTAAGAAATTACATATACTTAGCAGTTAGCACTGCAGTCCACCTTGAAAAACACATTGATATAATAACCTTGCAGGATGCAGCAGGGAAAAAAGTCAAGAATTCTTCTTGCCGCTACAACTACCTAGTCTTATGCTCGTTGATGATATAACATTACAGATAACAATCCGTAAATGTTAAAACAAAGAAAAGAACTAATATGGCTCGTAAAAAATATATTACCTCTGCCCCAAAAGGCCAAAACTTGAAAGCTTATCATTTTCATTTTGGGTTGTCACTATATTCTCTAAAAAATAATATACAGAGTATTACCTCTGTGCCCGAATTCGACATGATACATTTCAGACAGAATTTCATGATTATGAAACAGACCTCTAAATGATGATGTTTGAGAACTCACTTAAAATCTGCATTTCTTAAGAATTTATTTCTAAATACACTTATTCCTAGTCTTATTGCTTTTCTATTTTGCTATACCTACTTCAAAAAAAAATCTGCACCAAAGTGAACATACAAAACAACAAGATTATTATATTTCCGATCTAAAAGCAAAAATGAACTGGGAATTGGCGTTTAACTATTTCTACATACCTTCTGTTCGATTTCAGGAACCTTCAATACTTTCAAATTCACCTCCCTCTTTCTGCGAAGCAAATGAAATTTTGATTATTTCTATTTAATTATCACGCATAAAGAGTTAAATAAGCTAAACCGAATTCAAATTCAATGCGGATTAGTGCATTATAATTTATGGACTATGAGGAAATGAGAGAGCTTGCTTACATTTCGCGTACTGTTTGATCGATTACTTTCATGAAATCCATGTCTGGATCTACCTATTAAAAAGCAAAACAACCCAAAAAAAAAGTAAATTTTTCAAAAATGCGAGAAGAAAGTTAACGCCTTTTGAAATTTGAAAAAAAAACCAGAGAAACGACGGTGCACCTGTGATTAGCAAGCAAAACAAAGGACAGGAAGCCGGATTGGAGCAGATCTAAGATAATTACTGGATATTATTATTAGGGTATCAGCATGAAGAAGAAAACATGTGCATAAGGCCCTGTTTGGATGTGGTGGATGTATTTGAGGACTATAAAACTAACAAAAACATGTAGATTGCACATGGAAGAGAAATAATAGTCCTAATTTTTTTTAAAAAAAATAAAAGTAGAATATTTTTTGGGATATGAAGAAAAGAAAATATAGAACATGATTGCAGGATTAAATTCATTTAAGAAGAAGAAAATTTGTGAATAAATCACTTAGGGGAGTGGAAATGGGGCTGACGCTTTTTGACGCCCAACGGACTAACGCTCTCATGGCGGCGTTAAGGGGCATCAGTTCCCCTGCATCAAAACTTTGACGCTGTGCTGCGCAATTTCCCACCCCTCCCAAAGACTAAAAGAGCCGTTACCCACCAAAAAAATTAAATTAAAAAAACTTATAAATCCAATCAAAACAAACATATCTCTCACGCATCTCTCTGTCTTCTCTCTATAATTCTATCAAATACTCTTTCAAATATTTTTCTATTTATTATATTTATTTCTACAAAATATTTTAAAAATGAAATCATCTTCATCTAATCATAAAAAGAGAGCTCTCATTTTTTGCCATTTCGCCACGACTTGTTATCAATGGTGGCAACAAGGTGAACAAGAAGAAGCAAAATTCTCCCGATGTCAAACCCGATGACAACGTTAAAACCAGGATTGAGCGGCTAAGCATGCTTCCCTTCTCAATGACTACATCAATACTCCGTGTGTTTATACACCGGTGGATTTTAATAAACGTTTTCGGATGAGTCCTCATCTCTTTTTACGCATACTCGTTGATATTGAACACGAGGTGCCTTGGTTCACCCAACGCTTTGATGCGAGAAGGCGGCATAGGTTTAGCAGTGTGCACTATCGTGCTTCGTCATATGGCGTACGGGACGGCATATGATATGTTCGACGAATACTTGAAGATGTCGGCTCGGAGCATCAGGTCTTGTGTTTATAAATTTTCTAAAGCTATCATTCAAATTTATTATAAAAGATATTTACATAACATTTAGCAGTTACAGGCAAGGCATGCTGCTAAACACGGCTTTGTCGGTATGCTTGAGAACATTGATTGCACGCATTGTGGAGGGAAAAATTGTCTCACTGTGTGGCATGGTCAGTTCTTTCGGAGTGATCATCCCAAGCCTACTATCATGCTCAAAGTTGTTGCTTCAAATAACTCGTTGTTTTGGCACGTTTTTTTCAGTGTCACGAGCTCAAACAACGACATCAACGTTCTCGATCAATCACCTATTTTTTACGATTGGATTAATAAGACCACCCCATACTCGTCTCTTGAGCTTAGATGGACGCTTTACAAGCGTGGATATTATTTGGCAAGTGGAATATATTCAGATTATTTCACGATTGTCAAGTCATTCTCCGAACCAATGGATCTTAAACGTCAGACCTACAAAAAAGCTCATGAGGCGGCGAGAAAATATACTGAACGAGCTTTCGGGATGTTGAAGGCTAAGTGGCACATTCTAAATCATCCATCCAAATGTTTTTCTCAAACAAAAATGAGGAATAATATTATTCTTCATAATATGATTGTAGAGGACAACGAGTTTACGATTTGTCATTACAACCCGGACGGGAAGGTGCCTATGTACGAAGAAATCGATGAAGAAAAGAAATAAAGAAACTGCCAAGAAATTCGTAGCCAAGAGATTCGCAATACACTAACGCCGGATTTGATCGAACATATCTTCAGTCGCTGAAATAATCAGTGATTTGTTTGTAGTGTTATTTTTTATGGATATAATTTTTTTATTTAATGTGTAACGTCCTGAAATATACCATAGAATTTTATAACAAATTTTTAATAAATTGAAATTCCTATTCTATTTAAGTGAAATAAACATCGAAGCAAAAATATAAAGTAAATGAGGAATTTTGACCCTTCGAAGAAAATATAAAGTAAATGAATAAAGTACAGGTATGACGAAGAAATAATAATATATTAATAATACTCCTACCCATATTAATAATATTATAAAGAAATAAAAAATAAATGAATTTTATAATACTCCGTATTATATTATACTCGTATTTATAATACTAATACGTACATACCAATATCCTACTCCTATCCAATTTGTAATCAACCCACCATCGAAGATAAGGCCCAATTCCCAACATATGCACGCCTGGAGCTTCATCACCAAGGACTTCGCCTGGCCACGATCTCAACGGAGTCTTTGCCAACCGTGCGACCAGAGAGAAGCATCGCCGCCGTTCGTGTTACCGGAAGGGGGAGTCCGCCGCTGCATCGCCGTGGTGACCTTCGCTTCTGCTGTCCTCTTTGGTGATCTGGTTTGCTTTGATTCTTCCATCTAATTGAGGTGAGTGATTTATCTCTAGTTAGACTTGATTCTTAGATTATGATTCGTTAATATATTTTCATTCAATTGAGATTGAATTTGTGGTTGCGATTATTGGATTGTGTGTGATTGAGTAATGTTGAATTTGGAATTGGGTTGATTTGGGGATTCGGATTGGTTTGCTCTGTTCAGTGTTCATGAATTTGCACTCCTCTCCGTATTCTACGCTCTTCTCTCTCTCTCTCTCTGTTATTTCCTGTCTTCCTACTCTGTTCTGTTTCTGCTCTTGGTGCGTTGTTCTTGTTGCCGCTAGACGTCTCCACTCAATCGCACGGAGGAGGAACGGGTACGCCACCGTGCTGTCCAGCTTTGGTTCACAGTTCTCCAGCGGGTGGAGGGATATCTTTTTGCCGTGTTACTGCTATACTAGGCAAGAATTGGCTTTTGCAATTACACTTTGGTTGTTGGGTTATTGAGTAACTTGCAAATTGGTCCTCCATTCTATTTTGGTTTTTTCAGTTAACCCATATTATCATAAATCCGAAGTTTCAAATCAAATAAAATTGTATAAAATCTAGTCCTATTTTATAATCCAAATTGTAGAACTTGTTGGTGATAACTGTGTGTTGGAATTGAAACCGTAAACTAGGCCATCTAATAGTATCAAGCGAATTTAAGTTTAGTTGACTATTGGAAATCATTACTAAGGCTGAATTTAGAAATAAGGTCATGCGGGTGTCGGCGTACATATGATGGTCTTCAGGGTTAAAGCGTACGTACGGGAGTCCGAGACCTGCCTCGGCACCTCCGTGGTAGGGGCTTCAACCCGCCCAATTGGACACCTTCCACTGGGTTCACAAGCTTGGCCTCTTGGACACCTTTCCAAGAGTGTCCATGACTAGTGTGTGTTGGGGTATCTATGAATACTGAATAGCAAACCACAACCAAACAAGAACACACACAAAACAGAAATCAAAATGGAGAAAACGGAACACAAGATTTATAGTGGTTCGGTCAGCTGACCTAATCCACTTTGCAACTAGGGTTTTTATTATCCAGGTGCTCAAAGAATTACAAGTACACAGATCGCTATTTATGAAGACTAAACTAGGGCTGAAAACTTAATCCCCAAGTTAGGCCCAAGCCCACATAGAGAATTAGGGCCGGCTAAATTAAAAACCTAATTTACTGCCATATGGGTCGAACCAAGACTAGGGCCGGCTGCCCTTCCTGGTCGAGCCTCCACACTCAATTCGCCCAACAATCTCCCACTTGGAGGCTCGAACAACGCCCCTTAGTCTGCATCATCTGTAACTCTTGTAATCCTCATTTTCCACTAGTTGCAGCGGCCTTCACTTTAGTTATCTGAAGGCCCGTTGAAGCTCCCACTGAGCTTCAACTCATCAGTCACAACCCGTGACTCGTTCTCATTCTCTGCTAGCTCCGAGTGTGACACATCTATCACTCTCCTAGCTTCTAAGACAAACTGAGAACCTACATTCTCCAAACCAAGCAAATTGTTAACAGGAGAAACATTCAATGTCGGAATACTAGTTTTCCTAACCCACAGTCGGATTGGGACTGAAGCACGACCTGTGCTCCCACTGCCACAAAATTCCCTGACTGGTTGAACCTTCCGAGCTAGTTCATCCTGAATCTGTACTCTTTCTCTGAGTTTCTCCTTTGCAAAGGTAACCCTCTTTAGCACACGAGATTCTTTGAACCGGACCTTTTCTTTTACAAAAACTGGACTTGCTCCTTGTGGAGGTATCTCGACCATATATAACGAGCCCCTTTTTTTGCCACAAGCAACAACAAGATTTCCTTTGACCACCTTCCACTATCCACCACCAAATTTAACATCAAGACCCGAATCATCCAACTGCCCAACTGAGATAAGCATCCTCTTCAAGCTAGGAATGACTCTGACGTTTTTCAAAGTCCAAGTGGCTCCAACTGAAGTTTTCAAGTCAATATCCCCCATGCCCGTAACATCCAGAATTTCATCGTTACCAAGTCGTACCTTACCAAAGTCCCCAATCTTCAGATTCTTCATCATCTTCATGCTGTGTGTGGCATGAACAGATGTACCAGAATCCATCACCCAGGAATCTATACTACTCTCTACNAACTGCCCAACTGAGATAAGCATCCTCTTCAAGCTAGGAATGACTCTGACGTTTTTCAAAGTCCAAGTGGCTCCAACTGAAGTTTTCAAGTCAATATCCCCCATGCCCGTAACATCCAGAATTTCATCGTTACCAAGTCGTACCTTACCAAAGTCCCCAATCTTCAGATTCTTCATCATCTTCATGCTGTGTGTGGCATGAACAGATGTACCAGAATCCATCACCCAGGAATCTATACTACTCTCTACCAATGTTCGAAAAGGCGTATTGCGGTTTTGAGGCGTTTTCATTTCATGGCGTATTGCGTAAGCCTTGAGGCGTTTTGAGGCGTAAGCCTCAATTTTTAAATTGAAAAACATTCACAAAATAATTTAAAACCAAAGATAGAACATAATGTATAACATAAATAATCCAAAAACATGAAGAAAGTATCTTGTCAAAGCAATACATCGCAAACATAACAAAGTCTAACATGGAATCAAACATAATTTTGCTCGAAGTGATGAGCTTAAATTGAAGAATTGAAAAAAAGTTCATCAGTGTCTAACGGCTTGAAATTAGGATCAAAAGATGATGCTTAAATCGACTAATCCCGCCTTTGACATCTTTTTTACAAAAATTGCAGTTTACATATTTCTAGTTTTTTTTGTCCTTCGATATTGGGTGTTGAGTCAACACCATACTTCCATGCTGGGTCCGACATTTAAGCAATATTCTAATTTCTGAAACACCAAAATAAACAATACAATACTATGCAATAATTCATCTTAAAAACAAAAAAAATAGAACAATTAGCACATCAGTTATCAAAAAAAGAAGAAAAAAAAGGATATTAACAGGTAAAAAAAATCATCTCATCCAACTACTTGAAAAAATACCAATCATAAACTCATAAAAAACATCAATTGAATGCTAGTGTACTTCACAAAAAGATTACCAAAAAATAAGAAAAAGAAAAAAATAGCACCACTTGACAATTGTAAAAAGAGAAAAAGGCAAAGTTGGACAGCTGTATAAAGCAGACATAAAACGCAGCACCCTATCCTTTGCATGTGCTGGAAAGAAAGAGCAGAGACGCAAACAAAAAAACATACCTTTTCGCCGGAGAAGAAGATTGAAGACGGCCGACGCTGGAGACGGTTCGTAGCTCGCAAAAGGTAATCGACAAAGATTAGGGAAATCGACACTCGACAAAGGTAATTTTAGGATATATACACTTAATTGGGTAAATTTCTAATCCTTGAATTGCGTAAGCCTTAATGCGCGCACCAGCGCGTACGCCCCATGGCGTACGCCTTTCAGAGAATTGCGTAAAAAAACCTATAGCGTGAAATCGGGATTAGCACCAGTGCGTAATTTCCGGAAAAAGTTACGAGGCGCGCCTTGAGGCGGGTTTGCGTTCCGCCTTTTCAAACATTGCTCTCTACGCTACAGATTAGCACATCATCACTATTGTCTGAGTAGCTTTCTGTAGTATTCACTTCCTTTTTACCATTCGGACACTGACTTCTAAAATGTCCCATCTGTTTGCAATCCCAACAGACAATTCCTTCCCGATGCTTGGACTGACTCTTGCCTCTACCACGGTCGCTTCCTCTTTCATTCCTTCTTCCTCTACCTTCAGTACTCAATAGTGCACTCGAAGAATCCCTTGAACTTCTGCATCTGATGTCTTCACCTAGAATCAATTCCCGAATTCCTTCAAAAGTAAACTTAGTAGTACCAGATGCACTACTAACTGCAGTCACTGTTCCAGACCAACTGTCAGGCAAAGAAGATAAAAGCAGCAACGCCTGAAGCTCATCATCAAACTTAATTCCAACTGATCCTAACCGATTTATGACCGAATTAAACTGGTTGATGTGAATGGTAACTGAAGCACCCTCCCTCATTCTGGTGTTAACCAACCGTCTCATCAAAAACTCCTTGTTCAATGCTGAGGGTTTCTCGTACATATTCGACAAAGCTTTCATTAACCCATGCGTAGTCGTTTCATTGACTATGTTGAAAGCAACACTCTTTGCCAATGACAACCTAACCACTCCCAAAGCTTTCCTGTCCAAAATCGCCCAATCTGCATCACTCATCTTTTCTGGCTTTTCTCCCCATAACGTTTGGTATAAGTCTTTCTGATAAAGAACATCTTCGATTTGCATCTTCCAAAACCCAAAATCCCTTCCATCAAACTTTTCAATCTTTATCTTTTCATCTGCCATTGTTTCCATACACGGCTGAAAAACTGATCTGAGATTGAAAAAACTAATAACGAACTAACCTTGGCAGCGGCTATTCGGAACCCTAGCAGCGGCGGCTAAACAAAACCCTAGCAGCAGCGGCTGTTCACAACGGCGGCGCGGTTACTGTTCACAAGACAGTACAGACTGTATTCTGCAGTGGAAACTATGACGGTGGCGGAACTGATCTTCAAACCCTTCAAAACCCTAATCTTCGATTTGAACCTGATCTCCACGAACCCGAGGGAAGACTTCAACGATCACGAGCCTAAGGCTCCGATACCAGTTATTGGGGTATCTATGAATACTGAATAGCAAACCACAACCAAACAAGAACACACACAAAACAGAAATCAAAACGGAGAAAACGGAACACAAGATTTATAGTGGTTCGGTTGGCTGACCTAATCCACTTTGCAACTAGGGTTTTTATTATCCAGGTGCTCAAAGAATTACAAGTACAGAGATCGCTATTTATGAAGACTAAACTAGGGTTGAAAACTTAATCCCCAAGTTAGGCCCAAGCCCACATAGAGAATTAGGGCCGGCTAAATTAAAAACCTAATTTACTGCCATATGGGTCGAACCAAGACTAGGGTCAGCTGCCTTTCCTGGTCGAGCCTCCACACTCAATTCGCCCAACAGTGTGTTTAGTTAGACTTTAGTCGAATATGTTAAGTATGGTAGTAATGCACCAAGTTTTGAAACGAACGGACGTACGAACGAACGACGGATTATACTATTTGACAATTGTAATTATTGATTCTTCTGATATTGTATGATTATATGTTAATGGGTGCTAGTCTATGAGTTAGTTCTAGCGTTAGATACTTCCACTCTCCCTATTCGTAGAGGAAAGTGAAGTGTGACGCTGGTGGATGGCCGAAGATGTTTTGTTTAATTTAAATGTTTCGTTGAATTTGTTTATTTAAAATATAAGAATGTTGAATGTTGTTTCTAAAGGCTTCTACAACGTTTCATTTTGTTTACCCAATTAAACGATGATTTGTTTTTAAATAAATATGAATGTTTGTTTTATTTTTAAGAGTTTTTAAAATATTATGCATGTGACTAGCGAATCAGTAACAACCCGATTCGCTACCTCGTTATTTCGGGTTATGCAGGTTGAAGTGTTACATAATGAATGTAATTTTTTTATGGATGTAATATTTTTTTAATGAATGTAATTTTTTTAATGAACTACTCTCCTTTCGATTCTTTTAAATAATTAAATAATTAAATTTTATTAATTTAATTTTAGAAGATGTATATTTAAAATATTAAAAATGAAGGTTTGAAGCTCCGGGGCTTCAAACCCATTTCCACTGAAACTGTGAGGTAAGTTAAAGCTGACGTGGGAGAGAAAGAAGGTTTGAAGCTCCGGAGCTTAACAGGTATTTCCCATGCCCTTAATTACTTCAGCTTCTATAAAAAAGGATGAACCCCATTCTCGAGGGTCCTTCAGATCCGACCACACGATCACTGAGATAAAGTTAATTAGATTTTGATTGTAGATTTATACTTAAGTTTCTATAGATTGGAATACAAATTGTAAATAGATTAGGTACTTGGACACCACGAAACCCCAAGACCTCCCCTTAAGACCACACAACGTCAAGATCCCCCCAACGACTATTCATCTTTCGATCTGTTCAACTCGCAGTACAATTCGATTACCACCCAACACGGGTATTTATTCAATAAGTAATTTTTATTTTTTTACTCTCAACTAATTAACACATTGTTTTAGGGATTTTTTGTTGCATTATTTTTGTTTAAAAACCTTTGTAGTCAATAAAAAATGAACACATCAAAACCAAATCCTTATTGTTGATATGAAAATTGTTTGAAAAAAGTGCTTTTGTAGCGACCCAAAGAGTCAAACATAGCCACTCTGTTCGAAATCTGATTAAGGAAGGATAATAAGAAAAGGATTATTGAAAATAGTTAGAGAGTACATGATCAAAAAAACCATAGTGTGGAGGCATTACGAGGAGTAGAAGAAAAATCTAAGGGCTAAACTAGCATCCATATACAACAAAGTATCACGACGTATAATGCAACTTCCTCTTCTTTCTCTCCCAAAACTCTCTTCCCTTCCCATGGTGATGGAGAGGGTATATAGGCTCCCACCGGGCAAGAGGGTGACATACTTTCCCCTTCGCCATTCAATCCATACTTTGAGGGAGATATAATATAAGTCATTGTTAGAATACAAAGCAGACACACGTCATCTCATGGTTGGTCCGTGGTACGATCATTCTTGTTTGTCCTTAAGTATGAGGCGGTTAGGTCAACTCTTCTCTGCGTGAATAGCAAGATTGACTTGAATATATTATTCTACTCAGCTCGTTTCAAACATGTGTTTACCATTAACATTGGTTAACCTATGGCTATACTAGCTCGAATTTCGTAAAGTGTGGGTCAAGACCCCATGTTCCAAGTGTCCAACACAATCCTAAATCGACCCATTCCTAGACCGATGCCTTCATGTAGCAACACCTTGTTTGGGCCGGTGCTCTGAGCTTTTCCATATTTAGGGTCTTCGGTAAAGTTTTTAAAGAATAACAAGTCTTTTATATATTCGTTGTGGCATCTTTTATAAATAAAAGACCCATGTAGAGAGGTTGTTTCCACATTTGTGGCGGAGAATAATTGTTGGGTTTGGTAACTACTCCCTCCGTCCCGTTTTAAATCGCTTGTTTTGATTTTTGGGCATATTTAAGGAAAAGAAAAAATAGAATTAATTTTTCGAAATTGTCATTACTTTTTAGAAGAGGTGACTATGAATTAGAAGATAAGGTGAAGAAGGGTGACTTATTTTAGGAGTAGTTTGAGTATTTTATTTTTAAAAGTTTACGATAACAACTAACATGCAACTTATTTTGGGACAGAGAAAAAAAGCAAACAGGCAGTTTAAATAGGGACATAGGGAGGAGTAGATTTTTAGCCACATAATAATGTCAACTAGCATAAAAAAATACATAGTAATAAATATAGCTAATATGCATGATTCCTTAGAGTGTCTTCATGGTTCTAACGATGTTCATACTATAAATAAAGATTTGGCTTTTTAATGAGTGAAATTGCGCTAAATAGTACTAAACATATGTCATTCTCTAATGTAGTATTTAATTTTTTTTATTCTCTAAATAGTACCTGAATAATGTCTAATAGCGGGAACAATGTCCAGTGATGGTAGACATTTAGTTTGAACAATGTCTAGTGGCGGTGGACATTTACTTGAACAATGATCAGTGGTACTACATTGAGAAATAAAAATATATGATACGGAGTACTATTTAAATAAAATACTCATGCCCTAACCTCGGAGATGCTCTTATTCCAACAAAAGTTTTTCCATTTATATATTGCGAGGAATGATTTCTTACTTTTGAAAAGTGAACCAAACATAAAATGAGGAAATTGTTTTTTTAGAAAATGAGAAAAACCCAAATAGTTCTTATTTTTTGCAGGAAATGAACTAACAGAGATGATTTGATCAAGCAATGAATGAATTCACACTTAACTCTCTTCTTCTCAAATCTTCAAAAACACACCCGCCCACATCTATTCCTGCTAGAATGCTGCTCCAGCATGAAACGCCTCATGGAATTCCACGCCCATTTCATCACAAGTGGTCTCTCTACTCACCCCACCATCCTCAGCTCCGTCATATCCTTCGCCACACTCTCTCCCGCCGGGGATTTGGGTTACGCCCGCTCCGTTCTCGCCCGCATCACCCAACCCAATTCTTTCATGTTCAACACCGTGATAAGAGGCTATGCTTCGAGCTCCGACCCGGGTTCCGCTTTTGTTCTTTACAGTTTCATGATCGGGCATGGCATTGTTCCCAACAGTTACACTTACCCTTCTGTGATCAAGGCCTTATCGAAGGGTGGTAGGGATTGGTTGTGCGGTGGTGAAGCCACCCATTGTTCTGTGATCAAGTATGGCCATGTCTCGGATCTTCATATAGCTAATTCGCTCTTGAATATGTATGCAAGTTTTGGGTTGTCGGAAGATGCGCACAAGGTGTTTGATGAAATTCCCGAACCGGATGTGGTTTCTTGGAACGTGATTGTTGATGGTCTTTGTCAAAACGGCCGCTTTGATGAGGCCTTGCATGTTTTCTCCCAGATGTGTAAAAATGAGATTCGGCCTAACTCGGTCACATTTCTCTCCCTTGTGTCTTCTTGCACAAAGAGCAGTGATTTGGGTACTGGTAAAATGGTGCATTCGCAAATAATGGTGATGATAGGATATAGTATCAGCAAAAATCTTGAAAACTCATTGCTTGATATGTACTGCAAGTTTGGTGATCTGGATTCAGCTGAGAAAATGTTCCATATAATGGAAGTAAAGACCGTTTTTGCATGGACTTCACTGCTTGATGGTTACATACTTAAGGGTGAACTCGAAAGAGCTGTGGAAGTTTTTTATCGCATGCCTTTAAAGGACACAACTGCTTGGAATGTCATGCTTTATGGTTTCCTAGAGGCTGGTGATGTTAATTCAGCTGAAAAGATTTTCAGAGAAATGCCAGAAAGGGATTTGGTGTCATGGAACAGTATGATTCTTGGATATGCCCATAACAACAAACATATTGAGTGTTCGCTGTTTCTTAAAGAAATGCTCCGTTCGGGGGTAAAACTTGATAGGATCACTTTGCTTGGCGTGTTTTCTATTTGTGGGTATGCAGGGGAAGCACAGTTTCTCGGTGAAGCCGTACACTCTCATATGGAAAAACTTAACATAAAGGGAGAAGAAGTAGAGACTGCTTTGATGGACATGTATTGCAAATCTGGTTCTTTTGAGAATGCTATAAAAGTGTTTGAAACTATAGCAAGAAAATCTGTGTTGGCTTGGAGCGTCCTGATCGCGGGACTAGCTATAAATGGTCTTGCAAATGAAGCTCTAAATTACTTCCATCTGATGTGTGAGGCCGGAGTAAAACCAAACGAAATTACGTTTTTAGGCGCTTTGTGTGCCTGTAGTCATGCAGGTCTGTTGTTAAAGTATAGCACATTGGGAATATACCCATATTTTAATCACCCTATAAGTGAAGAAACCCTTTCAAAAATCTCAAATTTACTTCATTTGGGGTTCTTTTGACACCCATCATGAATGCCAACTATGACACTCATGCCATTTGAGGATCTTATGGTGCTCCGTTCAACCCTGAATTAGTTCCTATCCACCCCCACCCCCACCACAAATCCTCCAAGTCCTTCCCACAGCCCCCCCAAACTCTATAGTATTTACTGTAGCATAACGGTAAAATAGGGGGCAGGGGTTTAGAGAGATAGGAACCACTTTGGGAACGAACGGAACACTTTAAAGCCCTCAAACCTCAAATGACCAGGTGTCATTATATGACACCAGTGATGGGTATCAAAAGATTCTAGCTCGATTTACTTATTTATCTATATATTTCACCTTCTTGGTCTAATCTATATATTTAAAACAGGTCTTGTGGAAGAAGGCAAGGAGTTGTTCAGAGATATGGTACAGATCCACGGCATGACACCAAGGTCTGAGCATTGTGGCTGCATGGTGGATCTTCTTGGGAGAGCTGGTTTGCTGAAGGAGGCAGAGAAGTTCATTCATGAATCTGCGCCCGCCGTAGCTGATGAAGCTGGAGCTTTGGGAGCACTTGTTGGGGCTTGTAGAATGCATGGTGAGATTGGGATGGCAGAAAAATTTGCCAAAAGACTTGTGGAAATTGACCCATATCATTCGGCCAGGTATGTTCTCCTCTCCAATATCTATGCTGCAGAAAACCGGTGGGGTGACGTTGAGAAGGTGAGGAAGAGAATGAAGGCTTCAGGTGTGCAGAAAACACCGGGATTTAGCTTGATCCAATTGAAATCTGGTGGCTGATTTTATACACTGAAAACAACTTCTACAATCACAAGTACGTAAGTTTTCCTGCTTTGTTTTCACTTGTATTGGATTTTCATCACCCCATCCCATAAAAATCTTCCTAGTTTGATTTTCATTGAATTTAAGAAAAGTGTTGAAAAGTAAAAAGTACATTGTTGGAATTTGTTTAGATGAGAGAATTTTCTTTAAAAGAAATCAAATAAAAGTTTTTTTTTTGGAACATTGAAAAGGAAAAGTAGGAAGCTTTTTGTGGGGCGGAGGGAATATTAGGATTCCTTTAATTATCTCTTGTTTATGATACTCCTCCGTCACGCTATTTGTCAATTTTTTTCTTTTTTGTTTCTTTCACTATTTTTATTTCGTACCATATTTAGTCATATTTGTGTGGTTCACACTCATTCTTATCTTATTTTTAATATCAATATAACTATGCAATCTTACTTTTTTTTAATATTCGTGTCACTCCATCATGTTATGAAAATAGTGGGACGGATGAAGTACCTCTCAAGGTATGTTCTTTTCAACTGAAGTTGAGTTCAAAAAAATGCTTGATTTGTACTCATGTGTTCGGCTCTTAACGACTTTTCCAAATTTTACAAAGGATCCGAGTGTTGGTACATCCCCAGATACCCAAACAAGGACGTTTCGACTATAGCAAGTGGCACGCTGTGTGGAATATGAAACATGTTGGGATCCCAACCTATCTATGAGTCTAAGACACTTGAGCTATCAAGAAGGAGGAGGAGGAGGTTTTTATAGGTCATGAATATCATATCAGGCCAGAAAACCTCAGAGAGGAAGCTAAGGTGTGTTTGGATGGATGGTTTTGGAGGGGTATTGAGGAGAATTTTGAAGTGTATACTCAAGAAGAAGAAGAAAAGATGTGATGGGTCATGAATGTAGCTTCCACAGATCAAGTTAATGAACTTGAAGAGGACGCTAATGGCGCGTTTGGATTGATAGTTAAAATTTAGAGCGCATAGCTTGTATTTCGATATACGAGGTAAGTGATCTCGTTCGATATTAACTAGCTTTAACGTTTTGAAAATAATGTCGAATTATAAATGTAATGGTGAGGTTATATTTATAATAAAGAATGTGTGGCACAATTTATATTTGCATGCATTGGTTATGGAAGAAATGCTCTTTTGCGAATAATGTTTCTATCTAATGCTAGATTTTAAAATGATATTTTTCTCGTATTTTCTTTTTAAACGTCCTAAAGAGATAGCTTAATCTTTTGTTTGGTAGAGGGAAAATAAGGGAGAAAATAAAATTAAAAGAGAAAAATAAAGATGTGAGTGAATATAGTGTTTGGAAATGTGAAGAAAAATAAGGGGGAGGTTGAAAATATCTATTCATTTTTCTTCGTTATTTTTCCTTCTAAAAATGGGAGAAAAGTTTAAATAGTGAATTATTCTACATTCACCTATTAATCGGGTTCCTCCTTAAAATATCCCAACAAAAAGAGGAAAAATAATTTTATTTTCTTTTTCTAAATTTCCCACTCTTATTTTCTTTCCTCCATAAAAAAAATTCCCAAAATGGAGATAAGACACTTCATCCATCCCACATTTTTCATATCTATGTCCTAATTGGATTTTTTTTTATATTTTTTTCAATTTTTTTTAAACTTCTTGAAGAAGCGGAGGGGATGCAAAGAGTTTGCATGTGCGTGTTTTTTTGTTGTGAAAAGCAACATATGCCGGTAAGCATATGATATATGCCAAAGGCAAAGAGTGCGAAGGAATAAACCCGAATTCAATACTTAACAACTGTGATGAGAGACAAATATGTTAAGCATAAAGCCTCTCCAAGTAACAAATGCAAATTCTACTCATTGCCACCAAACTACAATCACAATCTAATTTTTACCTCCTCTCAGCCACTGTCTTGTTGGGTATGAGGAAACCTTTAGGATGGAATTCATTCTTTTTTTTTCTTGTGAAAAGCAACATGTGGCTAACAACGAAACTTTACATTCAACTTTGTAAACCTCATAAAATTAACGTACACTTCCTTCATATCATCATATAAAAAAAATACTCAAGTGGCTAAAAACTTGTACTCCGAATCTTCCAAACAAACTTCAACTATATACTTTTAAATACTCAATTTTTTTTAAAATTTGTGAAATCAAAGAGTCTTATTACAAGACCAAGGAAATAGCTACACAACATCTACACCCAAAAAGTACACATTTCTTTTCTAGTGTATTACAAAATACCAAATGAAGTTCCACATTTTTAAGGTTAAGATTTATGTGATTCACATTTTTTTTGTATAAATCTCAATCACAATTTCGTACTCCTTAATATTTGTGTCAACCCAACTATGAAACCTTATTCTAAAACGCAAAATGTGGAGCCTTATTCTGAAACATAAGGGCGAGAAAATGGGCGGCGTGTACACGAACAAAAGAACCATATAGTAAGTACTAATATTTTTGAAATTATTACAAAGTGGGGGGGTTTATACAAGTGAAACACAAGTTTATTTTAAGATTCAACAATAATAGAGTAGCAATATTAGTAGGGAAATACAGACTTGCTTGATGCAATCTATACAGAAAAACAGTACACACTCACCAGTAGAGTTTTTTTCCCCTTTTCAAATGCACATTATCATGATGATCTCTTGCACAAAGAGGGTAGAGATACATCAACCTGTGAATTCCACCTTTGATTTACCCATCCAATCCGACCTGAGGAATTGCGAATTTTACATGCCCGCGAGGAGGCAGAAAAGGAAATGATTCATGTCGATGCACTGAGAAATTTGAGGCTTTTACATGAATACTCCAAGGTTACATAATTATCTCCAACGCTCCGGGAAATTTAATATTTTTACAACAATACTCCAAGAGAATTTTAAGTTTTACATGGATCCCCCGATTTTGAGGTGTGTCTATGAGCAATATGTAATCTTGGAGTATGGTTGTAAAGATAATGAATTTCCAGGAGGGATGGTTATAATCATGTAATCTTCGAGTATATTCTTGTACGCAAAAAATGCTGCTATATTTGTCTGTAAATAACATTTGTAGTTTGACTTGCCATGGTTATTTTATAAACCTATGTTTTAAATCTATTTGACTTCCAAATTTGACCATACATTAGTGGTTGAGACTGATAATAGATGGATTATGACTGATTTTCATTTTACACCTGCTATAAGATCAAAACAAAGTTCCAGTTTTTACCCTTTGAAAATGACAAGGAGAGGTATGGTAGATTGTGTGTTTTGTTTAGTAGGAGAGATCAAGAAGAAAAGGCAAAAAAACACACACCATTTCCACTCTCACATTTCTCTTTTCACCGGAAAAAAAAAACAAAAAATCTCCTTTTCTCTCTCCTATTTCACCTTAATCAAACAAAGGCTAAGTGTTGATTTTTGCAATCATCTTCAGACACAAACAAGACCCAATATACAAGAGGCAATTCAAGCTCCAATAACAGAAGCTTCGAATTTTCAAAACAAAACAAATTAAATTAACTTCACAAATTAAATGAGCATGATAAGAGAAAAAGTAACAAGAAATTACCTTTTTCCCTACAGAGCCATCTCAGCCTGCAAAGCAGCAAGCTCATCTTCCTCAGCAGTGTTCTTCCGGGGAGGACGGCGTTCTGGTTGCCTGCCAGCTGCTGTTGATGCATGGATTGGGGCAGCAGGTGCTGTGGTAGCAGGTTGAAGAAGTTGTTCTTCCAATTCGGTCTCTTCTAGCTCCTCAAGTTCTGCCTCCAGTTCATCCTGATAAGTGATAACACATTCTTAGAGATTCTCTGTACAAAGCACACACGTACACACACCCAACCTAGAGGACCAAAAAGTAGTACCTCATCAAAATCGGCTGCTGCTCCAAGTGGCGCTGACAGTGCCTCCTGAATTTGTTTCATATTCTCAGTCTGCTCGTTAATCTCATCCATTGTTTTGTCCACATCATCAATGTTCCTGAACCACACAAGTAATTATGCCAGAATGTTAGAATAGACGCGTAGAATTAATAAAATGATTCATGCTAATACATTTTCAGATCTCCCCTTAACTGGTTCGGAGGTCTGAGAGAAGAAGGGGAGGGGAAATGATCACCTCCCCGCATTTCGTTAAGAAAACAATTCCTCCCTTGAACCAAACATACCCTTAGACCCTTACCCTTCTATAATGAAAATCTCAAAGATACACTAATTAAACAAAAACGTTAGAAGATACACACATACTCAGTATCATTGACCACAATAAAAATCTCAAACATACAGTAACTTGATATTAATACACAACAAGATCCTCCCTTAGTCCCTAGCCTTCAAATGATACTGAAAATAATAGCATTGAACCACGATTATGATGTATTATTCAACATTAATCTCAACTATCATGGCAAGATTTTGAATCGCCACCACTTAAATTTTCATCATGCAAATAAGGCTCTTAAATGGACCCATCAGAAGGGAAAATGTACTCTAACAGATATAGATAAGATGAAAACAATGAGAAAGTTTATTGACTTCCAAGTTATGAGATCTCAAACTCAGGTTTGTAAATAAATGATCACTGTGTTTTCATTTAATTAAATTGTGTTGAGACTTAGGAGGCAAGGTTTATCAATGACATGTTACTGATGCAACAGTATGACAGTGTGTGTGGCTGTGTGTTACAAAGACAACTCACGTTGCCTTCTGCATGGCTTTCATAGTAGCAGCTCCTGTTCTCAAAGCATCAACAGTCTCTGTCGTGGCTTTAGCACCTTCTAGCATAATCATCTGTAATTCAAACCCAGAAAATTCCTCAATAACTCATCAAGAAATACGGGTAAAGATATGTAACATATGAGACATGCCTGATCATGAATACGTAATTGGAAGTTCCCAAGTTGTTCAATTTGTTGTTCATAAAGCCTTTTCCTCTTGAGACATTGAATTGCAGCTACAAAAAGAATTAAGATCAAAGTCATCAACCACCCATCCTAGAATAACCAAATAGATGCAACGGTCAGATACATACACTATTCAAACACTCCCTTTTGTTGATTTTTGTGTTCTATATGTAAGGAAAAATATACAGGTGTGGGATCTTAACAGATTTGTCTCAATATAAAATTTCATAATATCAATTTTATAATTGGTAATATTAATGATTTAATTTGTGCATTGGCATGCGTGAAACTCAGAATGTTGCAACTATTATAGAACAGAGGAAGTACTAGATAGCTAGGGTAGGGAGGATTCACATAATGCATGATGTTCCGGCCAACAAGGTACCAAAAGAAGAAACAACTTCCCTCGAGAGTTAACTATTAAAAAACATTTGGTAAATATAAAATAACTATACATTAAAAGGTGTGGATGAGTAATGAAGTTTAAATAAGATATTGTTAATGGCTCCCATCTCAAATGAATCATCAAATACTCCCTCCGTCCCAAAAAAAACTTCATAGTTACTAATTCACATGGTCAAACTATATCATCTTTTTTAGCCTATTTTGTTACTCATTTGATAAAATAATATAGTCATGACACCTCTTGTTTTGTAGAACTTTTTATGTAGTTTCTTAACTATATAAATTTTAATAAAAAAATTTATACCAATTATTAATTAAATTGAATTGAAAACAACTTAAGTCAAACTTCAAAAACCATAAAGGAAGTTTTTTTTGTTTGGGGGCGGAGTATAAAAATATTGCCAGAGCAGAGAGCATCTAACAACCATACTGATCAGATCAAAATGTATAAATCAGCAACCAACGAATTATTTGAATAGAACTCATCAAGAAAAAGAGAACGATTTGCAACAAGTAGTGAAACAGGAATCATACCCCTTTTGTTTTTAGCTCTAGTAAACTCCTTAGCCTTTTCAATTTCAGCAGAAGCTTTTTTCTGTAGAACCTTCTCTTTTTTCTCTAACATGTCAAGTGTCTGCTCAGCACATCCAATTTAAGAATCCAGATAAGGATTATTTAAAAGAAGAAATAGTGACATCTATAAAGCAATTTTTTTACAAAAATAAAAATGTTCTTGGCTGGAAAAGCACTCAAATTCTCAGAATAAACCTGGCACAAACATAAATTCCTAGAAATTCCAATACTACTATGTCTATCAAACACAAAAATACATGTTTCCGTTTAAACAAATAAACGGAGTAGAAATAGATGTATTGATGAGAATCATCTGAAACACTATTTGTGTTGCAATCCATTCTTTAAGGGGAGATCTGACGAAGTAAACTTGCATAAAATGAATCCCTGGTCTACATTTGTCTGAATTCAAAAATTTATATGTAGCCACTTTCTTTATTCAACAAGCAATAAGCTGCAATAGTTTGATTAAATGATAATATCTACTGGGTATATTTTATATCATGCACTATGAAACTGAATTTTATAAATGTAAACAAAAATGCCAAAATGTCTACGGATTATTAGTTACAATGAAGATGATAATCTATCATCGTAGTCCATGAATGAAACCATCTACCCACATATCAAAAAACAGTCTTACTTTCCTCATGTCTTAATAATGAAAAAAGATTAACAGCAAGACAGGAATGCAGTTCTATTTTGATTCCTCATCCAATGGAACTACTTAATGATTTATAGCAAAGATTAAGTGATAGATAACTCATACTGAAAGTTCAAAACAGACATGTACATTCATTCTACCAAAATTACCTCACACCAAGTATAAAACAGTTATTCCATTAGGCACTATGTGAACATTTAAAATCAGAACTTTTGTTTTGAAATCAAATGCTCCATGGTAAAAGGGAGAACCCTTGATCAGAATTGATCATCAAAGCAAGTTCATTAGAAAAATCCCAAACTAAGAAATCAATAACACTGCAGATAATATTGATTCTATGAAACGAAAATACAAGTATTTGAGAAAAACAAGAACAAAATCATACCTCGTTTAATTTGTCTAGCGTGGTTAGAGCATTTGTTTCCTGTTTAGGTTTCCCAAAGATTCGCGTAAACATGGTTGATTATAACGCTCCTAATGAATTAAGGTGAAAATTCAATCGCCTGCAAACGAAATCGACCAATTCACCACCGATCAACAACACAGTCAAATCGATGATCTAAAAAAAAAAAGTAAATTATGAACCAAAACTGTCTGACCTGAGATGACCGGCAAATGGATCGGATGAATTATCCGGCTCCGACGACTTCTGAATGATCCGATCTCGGACGCGACGGGCCTTTATGGAGATTGCTTAGAGGAGAGGGGGAAGTGACGAAGCGTATAGAGGGGCTATCAGCTGAGATTATTGATTTTCGAGGGAACATTAATGAAATCCGAGTAAAATTTATGTTTGGTTGGACAAAACTAAATCCAATCCCATTTTTGCCAATCCAGATGAATTGAAAATTTTATACTTTTAATACGAGAGTCTTTCTTATTATATTACTTTACAATGTCATGAAATTACTCGAAGATCCTATAAAATCTAGTTCATAAAAATAACGATTTTTATCCCCCAAATACTCCCGGTCACCCCCTCCTCCCTAAGGTATATATCCAACTTTATTTGATTTTGGAATTAAAATTTTAATTCTAAAGTCAAATAAACTTAGAGGATGCAATTGAAGGAGTTGGGTGCGTCGGTTTGGGTTGGGACATGGTGAGAGGATTTACCGGAGAGATTAGGGAGTAGGAATTGTTAATTTTACAAACGAGACACCGTAAAGTTTACGAGTTATCTCATTATATTGAGAAGGAATGTCGAGGGAATCAAGTGTAAAAATACAAAAGTGGGAGTTTAGATTCAAATTACTCCCTCCGCCCCGAAATTATCTTCATGTTTTTTTTGTCAAAGTTTTCTAACTTTGACTATAAAATATAGAAAAAAATATATTGAATTATGATATAAATTAAATATCAATATATTCATTTTGAAATAAAATTTTAAAATATCATATATTTATATTATAAAATTATACTCCGTATATAAATAGAGTTACTAATAGTCAAAGTAATATATTGGAAACTGTGAAAAAACAAACAAGAAAATAATTCCAGAACAGAGGAAATAACTTTTAAGGCTAAAAATGTCAATTCATTTTTAAATAGGGTGCATTTAGCAATAAAAAAGTGGATAGAGCAATATCAAAACAAACATCTTTTTCTTTTAGGGAGAAAGACCAAAGTAGGACTAAGGGGCTGTTTGGCAACTTCTGAATCGGTAAATGCTGAACCAGTAAGAGGTCTGAACCATTAAGTGCTGAACCATTAAGAGGTCTGAACCATTAAGAGCTTGTATATTGCTTAACTATTCAGAGGCAAATGTCTGATCAATTCAGATAAGAGGTCTTAACCATTCAGACTCTGTATAATACTTAACCATTCAGAGGCAAATCTCTTAACCATTCAGACATCTGAACCATTAAGAGGCTGAAACAAACAGTCTGAACCATTAAGTGTTGAACTATTCAGACAACTGAACCATTAAGAGGCTGAAACAAACAGCCCCTAAAACATTGAAAATATACCAAAATAGGACTTTCAAGTTTTTATTCTCGAAATAGGACTTACACTATCAAACATGATCATGTACATTACCAAAAAAGTATAATAATGTGCACATGTACAGAGCCACATTACCACAGTGTAAAGTCTTATTTCTGAAAAAAATATGAGAGTCCTATTTTAATTCTTTGTTTTATGTTTTAGTTTTATTTAGGGTGATTTCTATTTCTTTTACTCTTTCCGTCTTTCAATGACTTACACCCTTCACTATTTAATAATTATGAGAACTTTTGTTTATTTGTATATTTTCATTGATTATTTGATGAAATAAAAAAAATATACTTTACTTTTTAAATATATAAGTTTTATTTTTTATTTCTATATCAATTTCTAAATTAAACGAATTGATAAATTTTAAAAATTTACTTCTTTTTACTCAAAGTATAATTCATTTAGGTACGGAGGGAATATGTCTTTGCTAGACTAATTTGAAGATGGCATTTTTGCAGATGTATATTATTCAATACCTAATTAAAAACGGATGATAAATTGATTTTAGGATAATAAATAAAACAAGATAAAATATTATTTTCAGACAGGGCGAGTAGTTTTTACCAACACCCAGTATTATACGGGATAGGCAAAAGTATCACACCAAGGAATTTTGGTAGTAAAAATTACTCTTACCAAAAGAGAACTTTTGGTAAATTGACAAAATAATAAATGTATCAATTCTATCACCCGTTTCTTAATAAATGTATCAATCCTATCACAGAACTTTTTGTGAGAAATTGACAAAAGCAAATTGCTACTACAAAAGATGTAAAGTTGACAAAAAAACAAATTACAAATGATGTATGGGTGTTTTTATCCAAAAGAGACTTGCATCAAAACAAAACCTGGAAGAATCAATGATTATTCCATGGAAAATAATTCCCCAAAACGTTTCATATGAGAAGTGGTGACATAACCTCTAGGGTGTTTGAGTGCATCATTGGTGTTAGGGGTCGGTTTATCTTCGTCAAGAAACGCTTTTATGTTGCACCAAAAAAAGGGAAAGATGCATAATTATTACCACGCGGCACGAAAACTTGGAGGAACCGAAGAATCTAAAGGCTCCTTGAGAGCCCAAGAAACACAGAAGCAGAAGCGATCTGCACTCTCAGATCAGCAATATCAACATCATGCCCGCCTTCGACCAGACCCCATCTCTCAATCTGCATATCCCACAAAAAATCACAAGGCTATTGTTGGTTTAAGAGTTTAACTCAATGTATTTTCTTTTTCTTTCACATTTGTCCATGCCAACTCTTTCCTTTGTTAAATGCTTTTGTACTTTAAAAAGAATATTAAAAAAAAGTTAAATGCCTGCAAATCTTCCTCAAGCCTGACCAATTGAATTGCCTCATCGATTCCCAATCTACCATGAACCATAGCAACTGCAATGACAAGAGAGTGTGCAGATGCAGCAATTGCATCAATGGCTGCCAATTCACAATCATTTGTTTTTCTAAGAAAGTCTGCAATGGCATTAACAAGACCATCCTTCTGCTGACCACCAAAAATACTGTAATGTATGACTGGCTTGAAGCCAAACACTGACTCCAACCAGCTAAGTAGGGGGTCAAATTTCTCCTTTTGACGCTCTGTACATTTTGGTAAAAAAAAATTCTGGATTATTATTAATACAAGTATAACAGCGCAACAACAGATAGAATGATAAGCTACTACTTTAATTGATATGATTTTGAACTTAAAATGCTTTTAGAGAAAAATGGTGAGTCTAAGGGGCTGTTTGTTTCAGCCTCTTAATGGTTCAGATGTCTGAATGATTCAGCACTTAATGGTTCAGACTGTATGTTTCAGCCTCTTAATGGTTCAGATGTCTGAATGGTTAAGAGATTTGCCTCTGAATGGTTAAGTATTATACAGAGTCTGAATGGTTAAGAGATGTTATCTGAATTGATCAGACATTTGCCTCTGAATAGTTAAGCAATATACTAGCTCTTAATGGTTCAGACCTCTTACTGGTTCAGCACTTAATGATTCAGACCTCTTACTGGTTCAGCACTTACCCATTCAGAAGTTGCCAAACAGCCCCTAAGTCCATTAGAAATAGGAAACTTAAACCATTAAATGAATGGGATTCAGTGCGGGTTAATTTCAAATATGAAAGATTGAATGCTTTTTGTATTTCCTGTGGGATTGTGGCACACCTTGGAAAGCATTGCCGGGCTGCTATTTATCTTCGGTTGAACCAGATGATGAATCACTGCTATTTTATCACTCGTAAAAAGGAGCTTGAGCTGAGAATGCAGTGGTTGCGCTTTGATAATCTCTTCCAGGAGATGGCCTCCTCGTCTACGGGGGATGGAAGGGACACAACTCTTAATTCATAGTAGACAGATCTACACCTCTTGCCTAAATGGAAGAGAGGCGTGGCCAGTTGTATGGTGACTCGGGTGTCTTCAGATTCTGATAAGATGGAGATGCCAAAAAAAAATTGCTTCGGGCGGGTGCTGGTTTCCAGCCTCGCCAGGATTGATCAATACCTTAAGTTGGAACTGCCATGGGTTGGGCAACCGATGGACAGCTCAGGAGGAGACGGCTCTTGTATCCGTCAACAAGCCCGACATTGTTTGCTTGATGGAAATCAAAGTTGATTGTGTTAAGGCTGAGGAGTTGCGTGTGTAAATTGAACTTGAAGGACTTTTTGTTGTGGATAGTCTTGGGAGGAGTGGCAGTTCGGCTTTTCTCTGGAGGCTTAACAATGCGGCAGGCTCTTAAGCTAATTGTGGTTTCATGTGGACATTGTTGTGACTTTTAGGGATAGCGGACCGTGAAGACTATCTGACTTCTACGGGAACCCGTGACGGGACCAGCGGCTTTCTTCATGAAATGTGTTGCATTCCATGAAGGGTAGGTCTACCTTACCTTGGATGGTCATTGGTGACTTCAATGACCTTTGTGCCCGTAGAGAAAAGTGAGGCAACCCACAACCAGAGTCTTTGATCTCGTGATTTAACCAAGCCCTGGAGGATTGCGGTCTCGTTGATCTTGGAATAAGGGGTTACCCGTTTACGTGGGAAAGAGGAAGAGGTAGTGACTCATGGATTGAGGAAAGGTTCGATAGGGTCGTGGCAAATGGGGAATGGAGGGGCATGTTTGAGCAAGCTTGTGTTCATAACGTGGTCATGGGACAGTCTGACCACTCTGCCTTATTTCTGTGCTTACGGCAGTCGGCAGCCCCCTTGTTTTGGGCAGGCAGCGGCATTTCAAGTTTGAAAATGCATGGCTTTGTGAAGCTGGGAGCAAGGCTATCATCCACAAGGCGTGAGATGGGCCAGAGGGTCATCCCCTCCCTGCACGGTTTGAGCAGTGTGGTGAGAAGCTTGTGGCATGGGGAGGGGATATATTTGATATTTCAAAAGTTTGGTAGGTGAATTAAAGAGCTGAAAACACTTACCGAGCTGTAACACGGTAGATGGAATTTTTCCGGGTTGGAACAATTTAATACTGTGGATGCGGAGCTTTCGAAGCTTCTTGAGCAAAAGGATGTCTATTGGAGGCAAGAGGTGAAGCAACACTGGCTTTGTTCGGGTGACGCTAATACTCAGCATTTCCACCAATATACATCCCATCGGAGGAAGAAAAACCGTATCCACAGTCTCAAAGATGGAGCTGGCACGTGGCGCAAGGGGGATGAGGTGCGGCATCTTGTGTTCGACAATTCTATATCTATTTTTCGTCCGAAGAGCAGCACTAATTCAAGTATTTTCATACCATTTAGCCTAGGGTTACATAAACATATAATACTTTGTTACTCTGTCCGTTTGAAGAAAGGGAGGTGAAGGAGGCACTTTTTGCCATCCATCCGAATAAAAACCTGGACCAGATGGTATGAACCCGGGGTTTTTCATAATCCCTACACTATTACAAATTTTAAAACATAACAAACTCAAACATTTACTAACCAGCCATCCGCAAAACGTCTTCCAAATTGAAAGCCTAGATCATTCCAAGAGACGACAACACTACTCTTTGTCCGTCTCAGCCAACAACCCTAAGTCTATAGCTTTGCAACCTTCATATTCCAATGGCGGAAGACCATCTCCATCCGTTGAAAATAGGGCTTTGTGCTCTTCGCGCTTTTCTTGAAATGACTTATGTAGGAGAGAGGGAAGACGTGGGTGATGTGGGAGGGAGGGGGTGTTTTAATGTGCCAAGTCAGCCTTTACATGTACGGAGTGACCGGAGGATTCCAGGCAATGGCCAAAAACCTTTTTCTTGAAAGGATTGGTGAACTTCAGAAATTTAATTGATACACGGAGTAAAAGGAAGTTTAGGTACTTCATTGAAAAAAACAAGCAAAGTTCAGAATCACCGGTGGAATTTAGTCGGTAAATATTGATGTTAAAAAGTAAGATAAAGTAAGAATAAATATGAACCACACAAATAAGACCAAATATGGTATGAGACAAAAATAGTGGGTCGAACAAAAAAAGGACAAAAATAGTGGCACCAAGGGAGTATGTTCCAAAACAAACGTACCAAGAACTAAAGCGGTGATATCATTGTCCCCTGGAGCACGACAGAACAGCAAGTCTTGATTGAATTTCTTCATCAAGTTTTCAATAATCTTAGGTCTGGTGAGGGGAACTCTCTCGAATGCAGTACAAGCAAGTTTCATCAGTGGCATTGTAAAGGGTCTGATTCCATCTGTTTCCTACCACAACAGGCTCAAAAAAAGTATTAGGATTATTAGCATTATTTAATAAAGAGAATTTTGTCTTAAAACCATTACAATAATGAATTGAAATTGCCTGGAAATATGAGGAAAATATTAGGTAACAAACCAATGATTTTATTGATATTATTTCTTGACTCAACTTCATGATTTCAAAAGATTATTGCAATGCTTACACGAAGAAGAAATGAACCTAAACTCACTTAAATTGGGAACCCAAACTCAAACCATAATGAAAATATGAAACTATAATTATTTCTATAATTAATAGCTTTGTCTCCCCCTCCCAAAAAATCATCAAGATACGGATCTTAATTTTTTGTAAGGTACAACCATTGACAATCATCAATTCTAGCTATACTTTTAAACTTATGGGTCATCCACTTGACTGTTTATAACATTTAAAAAAATACATCAGATATGATGAAATTTGGTCAATTACAACTATCATTTGTAGTACTCTCTTTACTTTAACATCAAAACCTGTAACAACAAACGTAGAATAATCCCAAGTTCCCAACCCATTGGGGTCTAAGGCAAAAAAGTATGGAACTTTACCTCTGTAAAAACACAACATTAAAACCTTTAAAAAAATTTACCTGGTATTCCCATTCAGCAGCAATAGCTTTAGCAAGAGCAAGAGTGGGGCACTTGAGAGGGCGTTTGGCTGGGGTTTTTAGGGTTCGATAGTCAAGCAAAACCGTCCAACCAATACCATCATCGGCTTCACGTGTGGTCACCTTCTTATAAAACTTCTTGCCCACAATTGAGCCAGTCATGAACGACATGGGCATCGTCACAGATGAAGAATCTGGATGCAAATACGAGCTCTTTGGTCCATTTATATAGATATTATTGTCTTCTTTCCTAGATGTATTTTGAGCATTTTCGGTGAATGCAAACAACGATGACGGCCCTTCAGGATTGGATTGCCCAGCCGTGGCAAGGCCACATATGTGGCGGGAACTGGATGCGGTTAGGGTTCTGAGGATGACACTGTGTAGGCTTCTAAAGGGTCTTCCTATAATCTCAATATTCATCATTTTACAATTCAGTGATTTGGGATGCCAACACTAAAATATAAAATCTGCAAGGGGGGAATTTCAAAGAACATCAATAAAAAAGAGATTATAATAAATAGCATGAATTACAAGATTAATATTTAACTGCCACTATCTATCTAATAGATTGGGAGAACTGGGAGAGCTACTCCCCAAAAGCTAGCGATTAGGGTGGAAGAATTGAGAGAGCCACACTCCAGAAGCTAGCAATTAGGGTGAGCGCACCCAAAGTATTATAAAGCCTCGCTAATGTGGGGTTCATTACAACTTCCTGCACATTAAGGGGATGAAAAATGCTAAAGTTGCCTCAAATATCACCCCATTTCACAAACATACATTGCACATAACGGTTTGTAGATGTCTGTGAAAAGGTGTCACTTTTCACCTCAAACTTCTCACACACACATCCATAGACTTTGAACATAACGGATGTGTGTGTAGATGTGGGTATGTGAGAAGGGAAGATGGATTTAGAAGTGAGTGTCCCTAGCATGGTCCTAAGGAAACTCTGCTATTTTTGCATCACAAAATCTACAAACACTAGGTTGTAGGTTTGCATTTCAATCCGCTAATGAGATAATTGAAGAAGGAACAATGGCGTATGCCAAATAAATTCATTAATGGCTTGTTTGGGAACTTGAATTTGCATTTCAAATTCAAATTTGACCCAAATTATGCGTTTGGAAATCCAAAAAAATGGATTTGGATTCAAACCAAATTTCTCTAAAACTCAATTACAAATCCATACACTCCACTTGTAATTTGAAATCCAAAATTTCAAAATTTGTAATTGAAATCCAAGATTTCATGTGAATTCCTACTCTCCAAGCACTACTTAAATGTTTAAAAAATCAGAACAGAACGAATCATGTTCGTACAGAGCATCGTAAATCGCAAGCTTCAACAGAACGACAAATCAAAATATAAAATCAAATATACTCCGTAATTAATTCCTCAAAACTTCAAAACTAACCTGGAAAGCTAAATCGTTGTGTCCTATTTCATAGATCCCAAATTCGTTGCCTTCTTCGCTTTGCCGCCGGCTTCGGCGTATGATTTCTTAGGGGTGGAGGCCTCGGATGGCCGAAAATTGGTTTTTTTGAGTGCCTCCATCAGACTGGAACTGGGTTTTTTTAGCTTGTTATTTGGATAGTAAGGTGCCCAAATGATAGTTCTACTTAGGTTTTCATAATCACTCTTCCTAAAATACCCTTTTCATTAATTCCAATACTCACCTCTCGCCAACCCCTCCTAACCGCATTCATTATACTCACTTCTTATCTCGCATCTCATCTCCTTCCCATATCCATTTTCTTCTCCATCTTCTCGTATAACTAGATCTTCGCCCACATCAAATGGATCTGCGTGATTGTTGCTTGAATTCTATTATTTCGAGATGGGATTTCAAGAGATGGTTGGGGTGAGGTCGAAGATTTGATATATGACAACAGCAACTAGAAAAGGTTATTGTAACCGATAGCGATGACGAGGTCATTGTCATCAATAGGGAAGATGATGGTGCCAATGTTGTCCCGATCAGAGACACAAAGTGTTTTATCAACATTCAATCTCAGGAAGATTGTATTTTTGTTTATGGAAGGCAAGAGGGTGAGGCTTTTCATGTAGAAATTGAGAGTGAGGAGATGAAGAAGTTTGAGAGAACTTGATTTGATTCATCTCAACTCATCTATCAAACTCATACTCTTCTCTGTTTTGGAAACAGTAATATTACTCCGTATTGCTCATTTCTTTATTCGGCAAGTGGCTTTCGCCTCCTTCCCTTTTTAGTAAGGGTATTGTGGTCATTCTAAGGCTTTGGTCAAGTTCCACTAAAAATGACAAATAGTCAAATCGGAAAATTCTGTTCCGGACGGAAAGAGAACTCATTTTTATGTGTGATTGAGTTAATATATTATTAATTTGGATTTATAAATATAGAAATTAATTTTTTCAATAAAAAAAATCATGAAGTTGTTTTTTATTTGATTTAGTCTTATCGAAAATAGTCTGATCTGATATAAATAAGAATAAATAATATATAATAAGAATAAGTTAAAAACAGGTTCGAATTTGTCTTATGTCACTCAAGTATGTTTTATTTTTTATTTTTTTCCCAAATATATTATTCAGATTAATATTCTAGGTACTTTCTTAAAAAAATCTCCATGACTAAAAATATAAATTACTTTATATGAAAATATTAAAATTGGAGTCCTAAATCTTTTAAAACAAAAGAAAAAGAAATAAAAGAAAAAGAAAAATGATAAAAAAAATAAATTGTAACACCCTGACTCTCATTATGGTCGTGAGTACTTAGAAGATAATTGACTGACCCCACAAACCAATATAAATCTTTATCGTGCATTTTGTCACCACGTACTCTTGCGGCCAAAGAAATTTTCCCCATGAGCCACCCATTCTAAATATATTTAAGTCAAACACGTTTAAGTTTGATATTTTTAAGAAATGCTCTTTAGAGAAAAATAAGTTTCTTGTATGTATAATACAATCAATCATTTTTAACTATTTTCATTTCATGTTGACCAGGAGTATTACATAAATGAATAATAGATAAATCTATTTCCCTTCATATGAGGTGAAATTAGTATGGAATGAAATTAGTCTTTTAATTGAATGTGACTATCACCCAAGAACGTTCTATTGGACTACTAACAAACCAGATCTATTAGTTTATGTGTCAAAAGCAAGATGAACAAAAAAAAATCAAGACGAGAAGATTACAATTTAACTACCATCACCTCAGATTAAATTAGTTTAGACCAAAAAAAATTAGATTAGATAAGATCATAAAAAATCATATTATATCAAACTATATTAAATTTATATCAGAATCAATCACATCATACAATGAAAACACATTCTAAATTGATGATGAACCCTGTACACAAGATCTTCGTCAGTAGATAATAGAATTATAGTTTTAATCTCCCGGCCGGCTAAAAACTAAAATATGTTCTTGACATTTTAAAAAAGTACTGAGTATATATGCACTTAATTAGTATGATCATCATTATAACTCCATCAGTCACGAATTAAACTCAAATTTATCGGTAAACAACAGAGCACATTTATTTGTTCTAAATCCTAATAATTCTATAATAATGCGATATAGTAGTATGTTTGTATATTCTCAACCTATTAAAATATACCCCACTTAAAAATGTCTTCACTAATATTCCAATACGTGATTTGTCATTTGAAGTCACAATGATGCTACTGGACCACAAAGTCTTTAACAACGCAACACACCTTTACTCCCATTTCCATCAAAGTTCCAAATCATTTCTTACACACAAATAGAATTTGTGCACCGAGGGAGACAAAGAACAATTGCATGTGTGGTGGGTGACTCCGTGAAATAATTACCACATTTGGAATAACCTTTTCTCCCCTGCCAAACAGACCACTCCGTACATATTCCCCCCAAGTTTGGATAACAAACAAAACGGAGCAGGCAAGAACTGAAAACAACACACCACTACTATTCCATCACAATTATAAGCACCATTAGTGATAATAATCCAAACTAATGATAATCATTAATAATAATGATTAAGTAAATACAAACGGTAGCCCCAAACGAGGCTTGATCCCCATATTCTAATAATGTACAAAAATATTATAATTTTTTTTCTTCTAATTTAAGGGAAGCACAAAATGGAGATTAACATATCTAATCTCTTTCCCATTCATCATATTCTACAATGGCTGTGGAAGTAATCATCTCCAGTCAAACATTATTATATATAATCTTAATTTTAATTATATATATATATATATATAATTATATCCACACAAAAGTCAAGCAAAATATGGATTCAAGAGGCTGCCGACCCGACCCGATTAGAAATAGAAAACGAAATGTGCCCGGAGAGACTGACCCGAGTTGGACCCGATCATTAGTGGAGCGAGTTCTCCCTGCTCAGCCGGGCGTACATTCTGGCTCGGAGGTCTCTACCGGATTCCACCCTCTCCATCGCCGGCTCCTCCTCGTCCATGGTTTCCCACGGGTCGAACCCGCCGGGACTGGGTCGGGTCGGAGTTTGAACGGGCGTGGATGGAAGGCTCATGTATACGGGTCGGATCGCGGACGGGCTACGCGGCGACCCGATCTGGACGGCCCAGGAAGGTGGGCTCACACTCATGCCCATCCTGCGCATGGACTCGACGAGGCCACTCACTGAGTTCAGACTCACCGGCCCGCCCGGCGACACCGGCGGGGATTCGGAAAGCGGGGATAGCGGCGGCGAGTGCGGGCCGAAGGGGAGGTGGGTGTTGTTGAAGAGAGAATCGAGTCCCCGCCGGGAAGGGGAGCCGTCGAAGGAGTCGACGAGGACGTGGCTTTTCGGGCTCGCCTGCGGAAGCAGCCGGAGCTGATCGGGAGTGTGTGCGAAGAAACAGACTCTCCGGCGGCAATGGGTCCCGTCCTTGCACGGCTGCGTGCGGTAGCGGGCCGGGTGGAGCCAGCACTCGAAAACCCCGTGGGCGAACTGGCACGCGTCGCCGTCGGGGCACATCCCCTTCCGGAACTCCGGGCACGCCGTGCCGGAGTAGTGAAACTTCCTCGGGTCCCGGCGGCGAGCCTTCTCGCCGGGATGCGCGAAGGGGCACTCCGTCCAGTCATGCGACCCCCCACGCGCGCACTTCCTCACCTTGAAATCGTAAATACGGAACTGGTCGGAGGAGAAGACGTCGAGGGGAACGCCGAGCTCGTCGGAGTCCGACACGACGTCGCTCGCATTCGACGGGAGGAAACGCTGGAGCGCCGTCAACGCCTCAAAGCTGCCAAAGTCAGGACTGACGGCGGCACTTCCCTCGCCGCCGCCGTTAGTGGGCCAGCCGTGAATATCAGCCGTTGGATCGTCGAGGAGATCCCAAGGTGGGACCTGAACGCTGTGACGTGGATGAATGGACGGTCGGATCATCATCATCATTCCTGGATTTCCGGCAATAAATAAAACAGATCGTTTCGGTCTGCTCCCTTCATGGAGCGGTGGAGACAAGAAGCAAATATAAACAGGGGATTCTAACCATGGTTAAGAAGCGGGCTAACCGTGGTTGGGTTAAACTTTCGAGTGCGGTCTCTGTCTAGGCGCCATCTGTTACCCACAATATCCGCTACACGCCAAATTCCAGTGGGTGGAATTTACTTACCGTCGCGGTCACATTTAACTTTCACCGCCTAGAGGTGAAAAAAACAGGGGAAAACCTAGAGGTCAAAGATAAACTGGTTAGACCTGTTGAATCAGGTTAATGACCGGATCAACGAGTAGTCGTAATTAGAGAATAGCAAAAAAAAGATTATGTTCAAAACAATATATCGAGATAGATTGGGACTGGCGAGAAAATATAAGCTCGAAATGGCCCTCAAGACTGGTCCGATCTTGAAATATCGTTAGAGATTAGCGTTAGTGTTTCAAATAGAATTTTAACAGTGCAGATTACTTTAAAAATAATAACTCTAAACGATGTTTGTAGATAGTCTTTTACAAGACGTTAACGCTGATCTCTAACAATATTTTCAAACAGGCTTTCAGTTCTAGAAATGCGTTTTTAGGAGTCGACAGTCTAGAAATATCTCGTTTGAAGATTAGATTTTCTCATAAAGACTGAAGCAATCCTTCAGGAAGAATAAACAAAAGTAAGAGTGATATGGCGAAATTGGTAGACGCTACAGACTTAATTGGATTGAGCCTTGGTATGGAAACTTACTAAGTGATCACTTTCAAATTCAGAGAAACCCTGAAATTAATAAAAAGGGCAATCCTGGGCCAACTCCTTTTTAGAATAAAAAAAACTAAGGAGATGTGCAGAGACTCAACGAAAGCTTTTCTAACCAATGTGAAAATATATTTTTTTTACCAAGCTGATTAAAGAATGGAAAAATTATCCAAAATAATCCCAACTTTACCCGGTCTTTTAAAAATAATCCCACCTTTCACTGTGATGCATAATAATCCCAACTTTACTGAAATTTATGAGTTTTGGGTTACCGTTAAGTTTCTAACGGAGGGTTAACGGAAATGCCCATTTTAGGCAACAAAATGAAAGTTGAGATTATTTTTGATGAATTTTTGTTTTTTAATTTTTTTTTTGAATTTTTTATTTAAATTTTTTGAATTACTTTCAACCTCCATTTCTTTTTCTCTTTTAAAGATTATTCTCACCTTAGAAAAAATAGATATAAAAAATAATGAAAATGAGAAAAATAACTAAAACCATATAAAATTAATCAAATAAATAATGTAATCAATAGAAATTAAACAGAAACTGGTAAGAAATAACATAAATATATACGAAGTGATGAGTTTTAACATTTTACACACTATACGGAGTCTTAATGTACAACTTATTTTTTAAAAGAACAAGCCGCCAGTAAAATTAGAATTATTGTAGATAATTTTTTCTAAAAAATAAGAAGTGATATGTTAATACTTTGTATAATGCGTGAAATATTCAAACCCTCCCGTATATTTTATTTTACTTTTACCAATTTCAAGTTAGTTACTTTTATTATTTTTGTATCAAATTAGTTACATTTCTCATTTTTTTCATTTTTTATATCTATTATTTTTATTTTTTAAACTATGACTAATCTTTAAAAAAGGAAAAAGAAATGATGATGGAGGTAGAAACTAGAAAGTAATTTAAAAAAATTAAATGAAAAATTCAAAAAAAAAATGAAATTAAAATTCATAAAAAATAATCCCAACTTTCATTTTGTTGCCTAAAACGGGCATTTCCGTTAATCCTCCGTTAGAAACTTAACGGTAACCCAAAACTGACAAATTTCAGTAAAGTTGGGATTATTATGCATCACAGTGAAAGGTGGGATTATTTTTGAAAGACCGCGTAAAGTTGGGATTATTTTGGATAATTTTTCCTTAAAGAATAAAGAGAGAGTCCGTTTCTACATGTCAATATGGACAGTAATGAGATTTTCCGTAAGAAGAAAATCCGTCGATTTTGGGGAAAGACTACATTGGATTTGAATTGGGTGATTTTTTTCAAAAGACTAGAATGAACGGAAGAAGAACTGTAATTGTAATGCTTTTGAAATATAGTAAATTTTATACAAATAATTTACACTTTAAAATTGAATTTTTTTAGAGCCTCTATCTTATCAATAAAGATAGTACTCTCAATGTCATGAAACATAAATTCTTACGTGATCTAAGGTCGATGTTAATTTTATGGATCTTAGTGCATGATATTATAAAAGAATTTAGTCTCTTGTAAAAATAGTATTCATTATTTCAATTGCCGATCCATAAAAAGTGTGAGAAGCTTCATATTTTACATTTGAAGTTTGAATCATATGAGATATGACCATGGAAGAACAACTTGTTCGGAAAAGACCTTCAAGTTTCATTTTTTGGTGGTCAAAAGTGGTGTACAACTAACATATTTAAATATATAAAGCGCTCACATTTTGTTGTTTTATACTCGACAATTAAAATGTGTTATGTTGAATCAAAACTAAATCGCCAACACTTATGTGGGGTTCAGAAAAAACTAAAAACCAAAATTTGAATAAAAATCTATCAGTTTTTTTGCCAAAAAACAAATTGAATTGAAAAAATGGAAATTGAATACAAAAAATGAACCAACTTGTTTTGGTTTGGTTTCAATTTTTGTTTTGGGCACTAAAGCTGAACCCAACCATTTTAAACCGTAAAATTATAAGAATTTGTGATAAATATTTTTTAGAATCCAGCTGTACGTTTATCTATTTTTGTTCATAAACTCTGCATTATTTATTCATTTATATTTTTCTCACACATTTTGTTTTGTTAGTGATTTTTCTTTAAAAATTGTGAATGAAGTACTCCCTCCGTCCCTAAATAAAGTTCCATTTTTGACTTCTTGAGGATTTAAGGGAGGGATATTTTGGTGTTGATTTTCCAAAAATACCTTTGATGTGATGTGTTAAAGTAAGATGTGATTGGTAGATTATTAATAAAAAGGTATGATGTGATAGGTAGGTTATGAAAAAGTAAGGACTAAAAGAGGTTTTTTAAGGGAAAAGAGAAGTTTATTTAGGGACAAAGAAAAAACGAAAGAGGGACTTTGTTTAGGGACGGAGGGAGTATGAGTTAAAGAGAATAACTAAATTGCCTAAAAAACTTCTCGATAGTGAAAAAACAAAAGTATTTTATTGTGACATTTCTAGAGTTCATTTGTTCAGATATTCGATTCAAAGATCTAGTTTGTTTTATCATTGTAGATACAAGTTGATTTATTTTTAAAAGTTACTTTTGGTTGTGTTTATACTTTATAAGGTTTGGTTGCTCGATTTGATGGTTACTTTGTTTGATTGCATTGTAATTTTTAAAATTAAAAAAATTACATTGTTAAAAGACTGAAAGATAATCACTTTGGCAAAAAAACGAGCATTACTTAGTGTTTAACAAATTTTATTTTGAACCAAAAAATAAAAAAATAAAAAAAAACTTAAACAAACACTGCATAAAAACTAACTAAATAATGAATGATTTACATATTTTTGGTCCAAAACCAAACCAAAACAAGCAGTAATCTAACCTTCTAGTTTGTCCTTTATTTACGATAAAAATCAAACGTCAAAACTGAACTCACCCCTACATGCACGTGTGTGGCGAGTCAGAGTACAAAACCTATTTTGGGCCTAAACTTACAAATGCTACCAACATTTATTCTATTTAAATAATCAGTTATTCATTACAAAAAAAGTTAATTTTTTAAAAAACAATGAAACAGAAATGAATTTTTGTAGATAGATCCAAGATTCACCTAAGAATTTTTTTTACAGATATGTTTGTGCGAAAAGTACCACAACTGCCGATTTTTGAACCGGATCAAAATCGAAAATGTAAGGGTACTAGACCGCGAGGCTAAAATTCTGGTTTTGGATCTCTCTTTTTTGTACCAGAACCAATCAGAATTGGTATCGATTTATTTACTTTATTTTTAATCTTTTTAATGTTTTAATAAATATTTTCACTTGTTGGAGACCGATTATAAAAATGTCACTAGGAAAAGAATATGGAGTCTAATACGAAGTATATACTCGCTAATATTTTTTTACAAAGAACTTTTAAAAAGTTTATATTTAAAACTGGACCTGAGACCAGTCCCGGACTGGCCAAGACCATAACTGGACTAAAATTGTCCCTACACGAAATTGGTATTAGTTTCCCCAAAATAAGTGCGAGTACTAGAAATGTATACAAATCAAGAGTGTTTGTATTGTGTATCTTGAATGTATATCATTTTTGTCGAATTTCTCACAGAATTTTTTTTATTTAAAAAATAGATTCTTATTTGAGTAATAAGGAAATGCTTATTTTACTCATATGTAGGTCCATGGTGTACCTTAGGTCCATGGTGTACCTTAGGTCCAACATAGAATTTGCCACAAATCATATATAATTAATTCGATTCGTGATTCGTATTCAAAAAAGACAATTAATATTCGCTTTAGTCCAATTCGAATCCGAATACGTATAGATCAAATTTTAGATTCGAATTATATTCGAACTCGAATACGAGTATTATTATATTCAATTCATTTATATTTCAAATTATTCAAATAGTGTGGACGGATAAATAAATATACCCTAATACACCCCTAGTTATTTGTATACCTTGGATTAAATATTTTAATAGTCAAAATCTTTCCAATTTCAAATAACCTCAATCTCATCTATTTTATCAGTCTCCGGATTCACCGCCTCATACACGTAACGCTTCTTCTTTCAATTTCACCGACCGTCCGCATCTTCATCTATCGACTTTGTCTTCCAACGTAACACAAAGTGTCGCAGGCCTCCAGTGTTCATCTTCCTTTCAAGCGTCAACTCCATAATTTCCCTTCTTCAAGTACATTCCTTTTGGGGACGTTGCTCCCAAATTCGTAGCAGTTTCTGTTACTCGTAGTTTATAAAGATTGTAATATACCGTCTTTAGAAAATGTGTTAAAAAATTCTACGACTTTCGAATTCGAATACATGAAATATGACAGCAAATCCAAAACAAATAT